ATATATAAATGTCTGCAAGAGGGTATGTATCAATTATCAGGTGAGGTGCTGCGATATTAGGTGGAATATTGAGCACATCCCTAACATGTTGAAGTTGCAATTGAGGAGGCTACTTATTTTCTTTTGATTCTCTGTCAGGGACAGAATGAATCAGTAAAACAATTCAGTTCTTAGTAGCACCCAGAGAGGGCTGCTGGAATAATCCAAGGTGTGGTTTGCTCCCCAGCCCAAAGTGCTTTCAGCCCAGGTTCACAGAGAGCAGCTGCTTTTTTCCTGGGTCTGTGTGGGTCCCAAGACATACAGGACTAGTGAAAGTAGACCATGAGGGAGCTGATTTCTACACCCTCCTAATGTTCTAATGCACATGGTGGAGAAGAATTAGGAAACTCCTTTCTCAGCCAGGTGGAATGTGAGGGTACTTGGAGGTGTGAAGCTTTGCTCAGTTCCGTTTGACTGAATTTTCTGTGGAGACAAAGCTTCACATCTTACCTTTCTCTGGGTTTTGATGTACGATCAGATATTTCAAAATCTGATACCTGCTGTCAATCCACTTTCCTTTTCTCAACTACTAGATCCCTGAATATCTCAAATTGGGATTCTACTGTGAATTAAAGCAGCACCCAAAGAGGATTTGGTCACACAATTTATTCTGCAGGCCAGGACTGGTATAAAAATAGCCAAGCTGCTGAAATATTCATTTGAGCCCCATTTGCTTGAATGTGGTGATGTTGCTGCTGCCAGTAACATTTCCTGGGCTTTTCCCCCCACCTCAGGGCCAAGATAAGGACTTCCAACCAAGGTTCCAGCAACAAGAAGCTCCTTATGGAAACCAGGAGGGTAAGCACTACAGTGGAGGCTTCGAGGCTCTTGACCGTTCCCACTCTGCTACAAGCAAGTCAGGATTCCTGTTACCAGCACATCTTGGTCCTTAGTACAGACTGAATTGACTGAACTCATTCTCAGGTTTCACTGTCTGTGGAACAACTTTTAACCATTCCGTCCTGGCCACAGCCTGTCCCAAAAGTAGCTGCATAACACTGTACACATCGATGAGTCCTTTTGTTAATTCTTCTCAGCTTAAAAAGCTGCTTCTTGTGCTTGTAGTTGAAATAAGAAAAGAGGTCTGTTGAATTGAGGTAGGATCCAGTATAGAACTTTCTCTTTGGAAACCTTTTTGCCTTCATCTATATTGGGGTCTGAGTCTAGGAACATCTAGGTTTTACAGACTAGCTAGGCATGTAAAAGCACAGGACACACATAAGAGAAAACTTATTTAGAGCAGTGATGGACTGGTCCTAATCATCTTTTATTTCATTCTGAGGTCTATTCTCCATTTAGATATTTATCTCTTTGCTGCTCCTCCATTTCAGGGCTGCTTTTCCATAGTGGTCTCCAAATAGCCTCTTTTCCCTCTCTCCAAATAGCTGTTATTGATGCCTTTTTCTTCTCATATCTCTCTCCAAAGTAGGTCTTACCTTAAGTATACAAACACTCTTAACTCACCTCCCTCGCCTTCCCAGGACCCATAACATGATCAGTTAGTGAGTACACATTTATATATGCATTCGTTCAACAAACTTTTACTGAGTCTGCTATGTGCCAGGGATATCACAATCTCTCCTAAAGAGAAGTGCCAACAATATAAAGGTAGGCAGACAATTACTGATAGATGAACTATGTGCAGGAATAAAGGAAGCACAGGGTACAAAGGGGCCGCAAAGGAGAACCTCACTCAGACTAGGTGGCTGTGAGGGAGGGTTCCTATAGTAGCTCACAGTAGCTCAAAGAATTAAGGCCAAGAGGAGGGAGTACAGTGCTTTTGGTGAGTGCAAGCCGGTGTCCCTGGAGCTTGGAGTGCTGGGAAATGGTACTGGAGAGGTCCACACTGGCTGGATCATGAAAAGCCTTATGGCTACCTTCAAGATTACAGGAATTCCCTAAAACAATTTTAAGTAGAAAAATGAAATGATTTTCATTCCGAAATGGTTCTTCTGTCTCCTGTTTGCAAGGTGTTGTGTTAGATTCAGGGGTGTGCCTAAACATGTAAAATTTGGTTTCTTTCTAGGAGTTTACCATTTAGTTGGAGGAAGATTGTACCCTTTGGGACTCAGACTTCTACCTGTGTGGGCAGGAGTGGGCTACAGGGCCTCCTTGTGCTGTGGCCAAATGGCTGACAGAGTGATTTTAGGTAGATAGTTACCCTCTTCTATCCTCTCATCCTTTAGAGAAGGAAGAAAAACCGAAGAAGTACAACAGGGGTATATGAAGCCCTGGAGAACAAAGACGTTTTATACAACCAAGATGATTACTGCTAAAGGAACATTTCCTTCACTCTCTACCCTTCATACCTTCCTATTCTTAGTTTGACAAATCATCTCCCTCAAGAACAGTACCCACAGTTTCTTATTCAACATAATTAACTTTTCAACCTGATACTGAGTTTAGCAAAAACTCTTTGCAAAAAAACGAAAAGGAACATGTTTATTGATTTTGACTCAAAGCCCAAAGACTGTCTCCATTGTAGACCTGTTCCCAGGGCAAGGATTTTTCCTAAACTAACGTGATCACAGTGACTCTCAGTGTAAGTCACTTGAGCTGGAAAAATTGAATTTGCTCCTATGGTCCAATGCTTTAAAATTTTCTCTCCCCTTTGATAGAAGTTAGGATGTAGGATCACAGTGTGGGTTATGCACGTCTGAACACATTGAAAGCCTATGTGGGGAAAGCTTAGAAGAATACAACACATATCTGAATAAAGTCTCTGTTCCGTAAAAGGCGTTTTGGGGAGAATAGGAAGGAAGGGCAGACCCATTCATTCCCTTTGTTACCCCAGGTCCCAGACCTAGAGATCCAGAGGGTGGAAGGATAAAAAATGGGTGAGGACAGAAGAATCATCCAGAGGTGAAACACTGCTGTGTGTGTAGGTTTTTTTGCTTTGTTTTGCTTTTTCCATCTCTGCTTGAATTGTACTTCTAAGCATATCTGGCCCCAAACATACAGAAGACAACCTTGTGTGTGGTTTTCAGGGTATTGTGTACATTGGATGTCCCAGATGGTGCCCTCAGTCTTATTTTAGGCTATAATGTTTTTTCCTCTCTTGACATTTGCCTAAGACCTCTCGCAAGATTTCAGGAGAATAGGGAAGCTAAATTATCTTGTGAGGGAAATCCCCCCTGGTTCAGAAGTAGGCTTTACCTCTGTCCTAGGGCCTTTGCCTTCTGGTTCCCACTACCAGCCTTACTAGATGCTTTCATTAGGGTCAATGCCTCAAACCAGTTTTAACAGGATTTAAGCCCCAAACCAGTTTCATTAATTTGTAAGAATCATTCCCTCATGCTAGAAATTAGAGCCGGGCCCTCTGAGTTCCATATCAGCCCTGTCTAGAAGAGGTAAGAGATGGTCTTCTCCCTTCCTAGAGTTTCCTTTCACTTTTATAGGAATATGACTTAAGTGACTGTCTATGCGGTCTAGAATTTGATGGTTTGTGGAAAAGCTCATATCAGAAATAGCAGCTTATGCTTAGGATGGGGGCTATATTCTAGCTTCCCTAAGGGCTTGCCATGCTTCTGCCTGCCAGACCTACCCTGATAGTCTGCAGCCGCTTGCTACAGAATTCTTCACCAGCAAAACGGCTCAAAGAGCTCCCCGGCACTGCTTGGTGGTCGGGCCCTCAGGTTCTGCCCAGGTGAGGGCAGTGGTCAGTTGGTAGAGATTCCCAAAGAAAACATATGATCGATGTTTCTGACTAGCACAGTGTCTACTGGAAATGTGGGCTTGGAACCAGGTTGTAGGATGTCAAAAGGAAGCTCTATAAAGGGATAGCACAAGGAGAAGTCATGCGATTGTGTTGTGTGCTGATTGCTTATGCTGTGACCATGTTTCCCCTGCGCCAGCTCTAACCATGCTGATCATATTTACTCGTAATGGCACTGTGCCTTTGTACATCACGTCCCTGTCTGGAATGGCCTGCTCTCTCTGACCATCTCCTCACCCCCATTAACCCCCATTTTGACAAAATCCCACTTATCCATCAAGGCTCCATTCAAATAGCACTTCCGCTGTGAAGTCTTCCTTGACTAACTGCCACCCGCTCTATTCACATCTTCCTCATCGACCACAGCACTCTATATAGACTCGTGGGGTAGTCTTATCACACCATCTTATAATACTTAGTCTATGTGTCAGTTTTACCACATAGATTATACATTTGTCCACAGTAAAATTAAGGTCCTCCTGATTTCTGAAACCTCAATATTCTATCCTTATTAATAGTTGGCACTCAGTACTATGTAATGATAAATTAGGCCCAGGTTGGTTTATTCTCAGCTCTTAAATCTTGTGATTTTGGAAGGACCATGTTCAGGAAGCTGAAATGGGAAAAGGACAGTCGTACAGAAGGAAATATAGAACTTGCCTGGCAGTCAGAAGCCAGCCCCAGTGCTGATGTGAAATCAGTTCTCCAGCAAATAGCATTCAGACCCCCAAGCTGTATAGGAGTGAAATTTAAAACTTTTCTTGGTCCTCTTTTTATCAGAGCAGGGAAAGAGACACCCAGCAGGAATATCAGGAGACTCCAACATTTGATGGCACTGATGTCCAGGAACGGGGTAGGTTCTGGGAAATGCATTTATTCACCTTTAATAATTGTTCTGTCCCTTTTAGTTTTCTGGTGAGCAGAGCAGCACAGAGCTCTGAGTCTGGGCATGCTTGGTGGGCCATGTGCCTCACTCCTGTGGAGGTGCCTGTTGGCCACCCTCCAGTCTGGGGGCCTGCCCTTGAGTAATAGAAACCACCTTACACCCGGCTCCCATGAGAAGTGAAGGGAGGCAGTACATGTCCTTCCCATGCTTTTAATAGTGAAACTGATGCCCACAATGTTTCAGAACATTTCCATGTGGGGTGATAAGTTCTACAGAAAAGTTGGAAGGGGTGTTTCACTTTTTCATCTTATTGGAGAACACTCTCTAGGATTGCTCTCTTCTCTTCCCTTCGGGGTGTTGGTGTTAATACTGAAGGTGCAGCAGATGCTTGGCAAGGCTGGGAATGCATGTCGCAGTGTTGCCCTTCTAACTTGATGATCTTTCACTCGGCCTGGGCATTCAGTATGGATGCAGTCATCACAGGTGCAGGGTGTAAGCAAGTGAGATCTCCAACAAGTCATTCCGTGTGAAGACACCCGCCATGGGGGGTGGCTGGGACTTGAATAGTGTACAGATTTCAGGGTCTGACTTTGAAAATACTCCAAGGTCTGAATAGCATCTTACTGAGCTGAGATGAACTTGGGAAAGTCAGAACAAACAATTCACCTGGCTTAAAAAAATCCTGGTGTGAGGCTGCCCTTGGCTCATGTGAGGTTGCCCTTGGCTCATGCCAAGTATCTTGCCTTTTGCTCACATAAAAGTGGCCTTTCCCTGACTGAGTGTTTTCCTTGCAGGCTCTAGGTGGGAGGACAGCCTAGCAGGAGAGATTAGCTCACCATTGCAGCAGAGCAATCCACCTTCACCTAGAGGACCCACAGACCTGGGAACCAGTGGCTTCTTTGGGTTTTTAAGGTAAGACAGGCTCCTCTCCTGCCATCAAACTGAGACCCAGGGTGAAGTAGCTCCAGAGTCTGCCGCATTGGGTCTCTCTGGGAAATTAGAGTAGAAAAGAAAGCAGATTACATGCATAGTCTCTATTTCTTGCAGGATAGGTGAAAATGAGATTGAGCACAGGGCCCCTAACTGTGAATTTAATAAAACTGCACTTTGTTCATTTGTACACACCCCACCCTACCCAGTGTGCCCAGCATTGGGCCTGGTTCCGTAAATGCTGCTTGGACAGAGATTATTCCCATTGTACTAGGCTCATTTAGGTGATTTGGTTACCAAAATGCTTCCATTCTCCCCCCTGAGTCTTCAGCGTCCCTTTCACAGAGGGCAGTTAGCAAATCCCTTTGTCTGTCTAGAGCTCAGCAATTCTTTATTTCCCCCGCCTGAGTATAATCTAATTTGGGTTCCTTTTCAAATGTTGGTCCAGACTTGAATTTCCATTGAGTGGTTCCCCAGAGCAAAAATGCCCTAGCTAATGGAGCCCTAATGTGACCTGGGAGAAGAGAAGGGGACCTCTAGAGTCTCAACCTGTTTTGCTTTCTTTTTTGCAGCTCTCTCTTCCCATTTAGATATTTCTTCAGAAAGAGCAGCCAGTGAGTCTTCCAAATGCAGCAGTGGGAAGTGTACTCTCGCAGTGACTCCTCCCACCTTATCCTCTCCTTATGACACTCCAGTCATGGGGAATGAGGGCCCCAAACTCCCTGAGTCTTCTTGTCCATTTGTTCTGTCTTTCGCTCCTTTCCAGTGAAATTTTTTTTCAATTTAAAACTAAGAAAAGAACTTTCTAAAATGCACTAGTCTGAGAATTGTACTGCTCAGAGGTTCAGTTTAGGTATTTCATCTCTAGCACTTAGGATTCTAATGACAATAAATTATTTATGAACAGTTATTGACTGAGTTTAGTGGAGTAGAGTGAGACAGCTCATACTCTTCCCTCAAGATGCAGGGAAGCAATGCCTGAACTCTCCCCTGGCTCTACCTGTTCTTGTTGACAGGATGCTTTGGGTGGGTGGGGTCTGTACCTTCCCTGGCGCTTAGGGAATGGCGTCTTGCCAGACTCACTGTTCTGAGCCCTGCTGACCTTGAAAAGTCATCTTTCCCAGTTCCCCCAGTTTGGCTCCAAAGTGCAGCCTCTCAGTTGATGAATGCTTCCCACCCACCCATCCCTCTGGCTTTTGACAGTAACGCATGTAAGTTTATTGAAGTCAGTCCAGGTTAGGGCCCCTGGAGAAGACCAGGGCACCTGAGCTCCGTCTTCATGTAACACAAGGCTGATCTGGGACAGACAGATTAGATTCATGTTGTGTGGCCACAGAGGATCAAAGTGATTGTTGGGAATTTAGGGAAATTCATTTTAGCTGAGGACAAAGGAATTCCTTTTTAACTGTTAGAGATGTTCAGTATTAGAATGGACCACCTTGTGAAGTAATGAGCCCTTGTCACTTCTAGTCTTTAGACAGCTGATTTATCTGTCAGGTGCTGGACAGTTCTCAGGATGAGTGGGGACATTGGGGCTGGACTGCTTGGATCCCTTGGAGACCCCTTGTTTTGCTGCCTTTACCTTGGGTGGGAAGAAAAGGCAGGGTGCTGTGAAAAGGCCTGGGACCTGAGGAGGGGAGGGCCAAAGGGAAAGCCATCGTGTGTCAGGACTGGAGGACTAGAGACAAGTTGCATTGTTAGCCTTTGCCCTATTGTCCCAAACCTGGCCTGCTTCACAAGGCTGCCGAAAGGCACACTTGGGAATCTGGAGAGCTGAGTGCCGCCTGACTGATTAGCTTACAGTGGAGTCTTGGCAAAGTCGCTTTCTCTCTGGTTCTTATTTTCTCATCTGGAACATGAAAGGGTAGGATTTGATGAGCTCAATGCCTTCCAGCTCTGGCAGTCCATGCCGCTGGCTCTGCCTTTCTGAGCAGGTCCATGAGGCAGTGGCCCTGGGGTCGCTCACCACAGGCTTCATTCTGATTTCCACCCCTCCCCAGCCCCTGCAGCTACTGGTAACTGGGGGTTCTTTTTCCAACTTACCTCATTCTTGTCCCAAGTGTAATTTAGCACTATGCATGGATAGCAGATTTGGGTTCCCAGTCAGCCCTGAAATTAACTAGTTGTGTGACCTTCAGTAACATTCCTTCTCTGAGCTTCAGTTGCCTCACCTGTAAAACCAGAGCCAGAGCTGGACTGAATGATGGGATTTGCTAGGATCAACAGCTTCAGTCTCTTCTCAGCGTCAAGTTTCTGTTGTTCCGGGGACTAGGGGGAGCGCACTATGCAGCTGACAACTCTGAAATGGACGTAGAACCCCCTTTCCTCCTGGCTCTGCCACCGGGCACATCTCAGGAGACTGCCGCTGGTGTCATTTCTTTTTTTTTGTTTTATTACAGGAACAGTGAGTGGCAGCTGCCTTGAGTTTTGACTTTGACCTGAGCTTTAATTTTTTCAGGTTGTTCTCACATGCAGTTAGAGATCCTATGGCTACAAACAGCCACAGGCCTTGGAAACATGCTGTCATTCCCCTTGTCCTTAAGAATCTCCTCCCATACCTTTCCTCTGCAGTGGATTAAGGAGACAGGCAGGGCTGAGTTTAGTAGTTTTAAGGTGGGGGTGGTGAGGCCCTCAATATGTGTCCTGCGCAAGGCCGCACAGCAAAGAGAACCCAGGTGGCCACAACTCAGCCCAGTCTTGGGCCCTCTCTCTCCAACTGCACAAAGCCGCCCACTCCACCAGCTCCAGGGCTTCTCTCCACACCTCACTTCCCGCAGCCCTGGACCTTGGGCAGCTTTTGGGCAGAAGGGAGCAGAAAGCAGCAGATGCCACTCTTCCTGGACCACACCTCAGACAAGAGCTGGATCTCCCAGGTGGGATTGCTCTGAGGCCTCTGGCAGGGCAACAGGCCTGAAAGCTGATCTCTAAGAGGGTGTGGCTCCCAAATGCTGGCAGATAAAAATCCGAAGAACCAGCAGCAGGCGTGAGGAGCCACTCAGCAAACCACTCAGTTCCTGGGCCTTGGAAGTGGTAAGCCGCTGAGGCAGGGGACCTGGGGGCTGCAGATGGAGTCCTGCAGGCCAAGATGGGGCAGATGGAGGGAGGCAGATGCTTGTGCTCCAGGTGGTGGGGAAAATGCTGGGGAAAATCACCACAGTGGGCTGATATACAAGTCACATCCGGAGACAGCTGCTCACACTGACACCCATCCAGAGAGACACACAGACAGACAGACTCACACATACACCCAAAAGCAGGTACCTGGAAAAGATAGCCCCACTCACAGGCTTGCCTCACCCCAGTCAGACAGGCCAACCTAGCCCTGGCTCATTCACCTGGAAGCATGCAGTATTTAGAGAACTCCCCGTCCACCTGCACACCTATCTAGAGACATCTGTCTACCCACTGTTTCAGGTGCCCATGGCGTCCCCCCAAACCCTGCTCTTCTGCCTGCTGTTCCTGGTGATCACTGAAGGCTGGGGTCGGCAGGTGGCCATCCCAGGCTGCCACTTGCACCGTGAGTAATCCTGGGAGCAGAGAGCTGGGTGGGAACAAAGAGCTGATGGATTGGACAGAGGGGAGGCAGCACCCTCGATGGACTCACACTGAGGGAACAGGTAGGAGCCAGGGCAAGCCTTTGCAGAGGGACCGTATACCATTCGCCTGTCTCCTTCTAGCCTTTAATGTGACAGTGCGAAGTGACCGCCAAGGCACCTGCCAGGGCTCCCATGTGGCACAGGCTTGTGTGGGCCACTGCGAATCCAGTGCCTTCCCTTCCCGGTACTCTGTGCTGGTAGCCAGTGGCTATCGACACAACGTCACCTCCATCTCGCAATGCTGCACCATCAGTGGCCTAAGGAAGGTGAGGGGGCCAAGCCCCATGGTGGCTCATTGGGGGTTGGGGGAGACAGAGGAGACAAGGGTCTAAAATGCCCCAAGGAAGAGGACTGGAGCACGGATCCCCCCTCTCCCACAGGTGAAGGTGCAGCTGCAGTGTGGGGGGGACCGGAGGGAAGAGCTGGAGATCTTCACGGCCAGGGCCTGCCAGTGTGACATGTGTCGCCTCTCACGCTACTAGCCCAGCCTTTCCCCACCTCCCTCCCCTTGGTCAGAGGGATTGAGTTGGGGTATATCCCATATATCCTGAGCCTCATTGAGGACAGCAGCTTCAACCCTCTTAAGATTCTGCTATTGTCACCTCCTGAAAAGAGGGGAGTTTCCGCCTCTTTCCTGCCTCTGCCTGGCCTCCTTACCAGCCTTTCATCACTCCACTCCCTTTGTCCCCATCCCTTAATAAAGCAAGCAGTCCTCGAGTTTCTGTCTTTATTAAGTCTACCCCCAGCCAGGGGAAGGGGGACAGACCATGGTAACTGTGAGCCCACCTTGCCCCAAGACATGGGGAATCTCTTCTGCCTGTGCCCTCACCCCTCCCCGTGCCCAATAAATAAAAAGGGTATAAGAAATTACAGGGTGAAGGAGGGTAGGGAAGGAGGATGCCCCAGGCCCAGGACAGCGTCTGTGTTGGGGTGAGCAGGGGAGAATAAATAGACCATGGATCCATGGTGGGGTGGGGAAGAACCTCGCGCTGGCACGAGGTGGGGTACATGAGGAGCTGAGTCCCTTGCCCTAGGCCGGGAGCAAGGGGTGGGAACCTGCCTGCAGTCTGGAACCCAGCTTTTTGGGGCAGGGAGATCCCTGATGGCACCTTCCTGGTCAAGCTTGCCCTGGTCAAGTCCTGCCACAAGGGCCTGAGAGTTCTGTTGCCTGGACCACCATCTCCTCTCCTCCTCTCCCCACAGTGAAAGCTGCCCACACGGGGCCAGGCAGGGAGCCCTCCAAGCCCACTCTGGCAAGGCCAGGGATAGGTATGTGTCTCTCTGGGCCCCTGGGCAGGAGAGGGGATAGAGGGACTGATAGCTCTGGGTTTAGTTCCTCCCTTTCTATGGAATCTCTAGCTCTGACCCCCACTGGCAGCCACCTGGGATGTAAGGCGCTGGAGGGGGGCCTCTTTTGCCCCCTGGGTCCCCTGTAACCGGCGTAGCCGTAGCTCCTCCAGGCCTTGCCACAGCTCCTGACGCTCCTGGGCCTTCTGCTGCTCCCTGGGGAGAGAGGGTAAGGCAGCTCCCCTACCTGTGGCCCTGACTACAGTCCAGCCTCCCTCACCACCACCTCATCTACAAAGGGAATCTTCCATTCTGGGAAGAGGTCACCGAGGAGAGACTGGTCACGGAGCAGATGAATTAGCCTGGCTCTGAGAGGCCTGGCTGAAGAGGCGGAAACTCCAGGGAGTCAAAGCTCCAGACCTGGAGAAGCATTGGGAGGTTGACTGGAGAATGCAGTGGGGAGTCAGGCATGAACGGCCCAGCACTTGCCAGGACATAGAGATTTTAAATATCTGATCAGATTGGATGTGGGGTCATCCTTTTAGGTTCTCTCCAACTGTGAGAAGCTGGTACCTTCCTGCTTTTCTGCCCTCTCCCTCTGTGCCCAACCCCCCAACACTCACTGCTGCTTTTCCAGCTTGTAGGAGGCTGTGAGCTCATCAAACAGCTTCCCATTCATCTCCATGAAGGTCTTCAGCACGTTATAGATCAGAGATACGATGGTTCTTGGCAGGTCAAGGGAGGGGGGATGAAGAGATGAGAGCAACTTCAGTTTGGCCCACCTCCCTCTACAGTGCTCTATCCCTGTTGCCCAAACACAGTGTGCAGCCCTAAACACCGCAGGCACTGCCCTTTTCCTGCCCCTTTCACCACCCTCAGCCCTCTGAGACGCCTTCCCTCATTTTTTCTAGCTGGGAGTAACCCCATGTCTGGACTGGCTGGCCCTGGACCAGCTTCTGTGGGTTAGGTCAAGGCCTGGGCACTTACTGATTCCAGTGCTCCTTGGAGACTTGGTAGAGGGTCCCAAACACAGCAGGCAGCACAGTGTGGCAGTTGTCCTCAATGAGGCTCAGGATATACTCGTTGTTCCAGAAATACAGAGCCCGCTCTGCAACCTGGGGCAGTGAGATGGCAGAGGGAGCACCTGGCAGTGCCTTCCCTGCATGTGCAAGGGCTGATATCCACCCCTGCCCTCCACCCACCCCATCCTCAGGGCTCATCTGACCCACTGGAGGAAGCAATGTGACAAGGAGGAAAGAACACTGGATTTGGAGTCCAATGCTCAGGGTTGAATCCTAGCTCCACTGCACATTGGCCACATGACTTTGGCATTTAACCTCTCAGCCTCAGTTTTCTCATCTGTAAAATGGGGCTAATAGCTACCTCCCAGGGCTGCTGTAAGAATCAAATGCAGTACTAGAAGCACTGTGAGGAAGAATCAACTTCCACCAGGTTATGGTTCATAAGAATGGTAGAAAGTCTGCACACACATGTAGAAGAACATTAGTTATAGCCAGCCTCATGGTGTGGGGACTGTCGGCTGGGCCCTGAAGTGGAACTGATGAAATTGAAAGCCACTAAGAAAGGAGAGAAGTGATAACCCACGTGGAGCACATTTCAGTTTACCAAGTATGTTTACACTATGATCTCTAAAATCCTCATCACCACCCTGTGAAGAGATCCCTGTTGGCCTATGTTACAGATGAGGAAGCTTAGTCACACTCAGGTGGTGAAGTGGTCTGCCCAAGGCCCCTTAGCCAGTGGGAGGCAGATCTGAGGCTTAACGCAAGGTCTCCTGACCCTAAGTGCAATATCTCCCCACTGTCAGACCCAGGAGGGTCCAGAAGGCTGAGGGAGCTGTGTTAGGTCAACTGGTCAACTTTCCTAGTCCATTCCCCGGCTCCCACCCTCACCCGTCCCCACCCATACCTGGAAATGGGGGCTGGACACACAGCGAGCCACCTGCTTAAAGAGGGGCTCCTGGATCTTCACAAACTGGGAGGGCTCAATGACATCAAGAATCTCTTCCATCTCCCCCAGAAACATCACCTGGGTGGGAAGGGACACAGTGGGCAGCAGTTCCATCTCCCCTGATACGCACCTGACTGCCCTCCGGAAGCTAAGCTCTCCCAACCTCCCTCTGGTGGTCGTCAAAGCCCTTCTTCCTACCTCCTTCTGGGTGCAGGTTTTTGGCCAGTATTTGAGCAGTCCCCGGATCACCTGTGGGAGTTGAGGCAGAAAGGAGTCAGACCTGTAGGGATGGAGACTTGCCTTTTCCCCCAGAGGTACTCACATGCTCTGTCAAGGTGGCGTCCTTTTCCAGGAACTGCACCACACAGTATGCCAGCTGTGGGGGGCAGAGAGAAAGAAGACAGGTCAGCAGGGGACAGGATAGGACTCCAGATGTTTGCTCACTTGCTGCGTCTACTCTCACAAAGTATTTACTACTACCTAGGATGTACAGGTACCATACTCAGTGTGCGCGGACACAGTGATGATCACACAGGGTAACATTCAGCAAAACAATCCTTATAAATTTTACAGAAGTTTCCACAATCAAAATCTGTATCACAATCTATGGGAATATAGGTGGAGGAGAGTTTAATTATGCTGAGGGCAGGTCGAGAGGGAAGGGGCTGGGAAGGCTTCACACAGAGCTGATGTCACAAACTTAAAGGGTCATGGGACTTCTCTAAGGTAGCTGGAACAGAATCAGTAAAGAAAGAGAAAGTGAGAGGATCCCATGAATTGGTGACTTAGTGTGGCTGAAGCCAGAGTGTCAGGTTGACCCAGATGACTGCCCTGTCAGCTCTCTGCTGTGCAGGGCTAGGCCTGGGCCTTACCTGGGCGTGAAAGACAGACAGCGACTTAACGGAGTGCAAGGGAATCAGGACCCGAACCAGGAACTGCTTGTGCTCAGTCTTCAGGGGCAGCGCAAAGCCATTGATGATGCTGAGGAGGGGGCAGAAGAGAGGAGGAGGGCTCAGATGACCGGGCCTCAATCCTTCCTCCCAGAATGCTGATGCTCTGGCCGAGGCCCAGGGAGAGTCACCTTCCTAAGATCTCTAGCAGCTCAGCCACGCCATTGAAGTGCTCGAGTTCATAGATGAACCTGTGAGAGGAAGAGAAGGGTGCCGAAGGGCTCAGAGCAATCGGAGCAGGCCTAGCCCCTCCCAGCCCCTGCATGCTATCCAGCTCTCTCCCCACACAGGGCCGTGCTCCCTCCCAACACCCTAAACCAGGCCCCACCGAGATCCACGCCTCCCTCTAAATTGCCCTGCCCAGCCCAGCCACCTGTGCCACTCTGGGTCCCAGCTCAAACCTCTCTTCCATGAAGCATTCCAATTCATCTCCTCCGGACCCTGACCCTCATTACCTGGTCCCCATCCGCCAGCAGGCACCTAGCCTGTGTCCTTTACTCTTCCTGCCAGTCCACCAAAATGACGAACACTTAGAGCATCTACTCTGTGCCATGTACTCCTCAAAATTAGCCCAGGAGGCAGGGCTTATTATATCCATTACACAGATGAAGAAATCGAGGCTCAGTGGTTCAATAAAACTTGTCCCAAAGTTAATAAGCAGGGGATCTAAGGAACTCCAAGCTCCTGGGGGACAGGGATCAGGTCTCACCTATTCTGTAGCTAATAATGACAAGAGCTAACATTTCAGAGTCCCGGCCTTGGTCAGGGCGCTGTCCTCAGTGCTATGGAGGCATTGCCTCATTTCACCTGATGACTGTCCCTGGTACAGCATCATTCCCATTTTAGAGATGAGGAAACGAGGAGAGAGCTTAAATAATTTGCCCAAGTACCCAAATGTTCGAACCAAACTCAAATACAGGCCATCTAACTTCTGAGCCAGTCTCAACTACAAGGCCATGCAGGCACTGGTGCTAGATACTCATTTGCAGAAAGAATCTTTCTATAAGTCCTTAAGGCTGAGCACAGTAGGGGTCAAAAGAGAGATCCTAGGCACCCTATGGACTGACCTAGTCCCTGCAAATCATTCCATCTCTCTCAGCCTCTATTTCTTTATCTGTAAAATGGCAATAAATACCCTTTCTCTGCTGACTTCACAGGCTCTGAATAATCAATATTATGTAATATGGTGCCAAGAAAGGACTCCGTAGAGCAGAGTTTGGGGCCCCTTGCCCGGGAGCCTTGCCTCGGTCCTCTCCCCCACAGCTGTCCCCCTTTCTCTCCAGGTCTCATCTGGGCGGCTGCCAGTTCCTACCGGAGGAAGATGTGGCTGCA